CCCCAAAACCCCAAAACCCCAAAACCCCATGAGGTCAATTTTTATTAAATTAGATGGACAATTAATGTAATTATAACTTGATGTAAAGATAAATTTATTTACTTTTATAGATCATGACCATCTCAGGATTATAAAGTTATACTTAAATAGTAATTTTCAAAATATTTCAAAGGTCGTTTTATGGATGATTTTTTTCTGAACAAATTTATTTAGTGTATCTTCAAAAACTCTATTCATCCTTGGAGTTCCGTTAACATATATTCTTGCAATATCATCATGCTTCTTTAATTTCTTTGTTATTATATCCGGATGCCAAAAACTATCCTATTTATCTGTAGTTCTTATTTTGAATTCAAAGTTATCTTTGTTTAAATGCTTATTAATCTTAACAAGTCCCAAGATCAACTCATAACCAACTATGAATTTTTTCTTTGGTATTGTAACAATGAGAATAAATTTGAAGTCAACGAAACTTAATTAACTTGACTCATCTTTATCCATTAAACCAAGATTTTTTCTCAGCAAATGTGCTATCAGATCTAAATATGCTAGGACTCCCATTCCTGTAGTAAATGCTATATGAGTTCCCTAGTATTGCAATTCAAGTCCTTTTCCAAACGGCCCTTTGAGTACATATTGCTCTCCAGATTGTTTATTTATGAAATTTGACAATCCTGTAAGGTTTTAACCTATTTGAATTGTTAGAGCTGTTTTATTTGTAGGAGAGTCGTCAATCATAATATCCTCAAAGTCCAGTTTCCCTTTATTTTTCAGATAACATTTAATTAAATTCTTGTACTTTTCATACACTTCAGGAATAAGACAGTTACAGACATAAAACTACCTTTATTGCATAGATCTTTTCTTATTGAAGATTATGTAATACTGTCCAAACAGTTTAATATCATACCTGAAATTTTGGATGCCAGGTCTTGTATATTTTCCTTAAAATACAAATGTTTTAGTGTTCTATCCCATTAGAGGTGAGATATAAACAATCTATACAGGATATTCCTCGGGGTAAGAGTTTTCTAATTTTCCAATAGCTAATTGGCCTGCTAGTTAATGCCCAAGTAGTGAATGAGTAACTCTTTGCTCTGTCAAATTTTTATTCAAGAAATTGAAGGCACCATAGAAATATTTGGTTATATCTTTGCCAATGTTAATTTTAAGAAAGTTTCTACCGCCTGGATGATTATCTAAGAATGATTCCAAATCTAAAATTTTTTCCTCCAAAATCACGAGCTATCTACCAAGTGATATGAGCTAATTGAACTTAAAAAGACTCATGACTTTACCTTTCTTACGCATTTCACGTCTTTTTGACCATAATACAAATTAGTGAAATACTTCTAATCCTCCCCATAAAAACCCAAAAAATGCTACATGAATATAACCTAAAGGAGATTATTGATCTAGAAAATAATCAGAGTATTATAAGACACCAGAGACTAATTAGATCTACGCTATAATTAGAATGCTATAACCAAGAACTTTGTGCACCCAATATATACCGATTCTTTTTAGTATTCTTAAGCGCATTATAACTCCTGTCAAGTTTACCAATGCAACCATCCCAATGAGTAATAAACCACACCTCGAATGAAGGTTATCATTAATTGTCCATTAATTTTCTCTAATAGCCAACACTCCAAGGACTATTGTGACAATTAAATTTAGGACTCCCGTAAAAATGTGCACCCAGATGCCATACTTAAATGTCTTTAAGTATCTGGTAGTTGCAAATTAAATAAGAGCTAAGGGACCCCAAGTCAGCCATAGAATCCATCCGTGCATTCTATGAAAAGCCGCATCATCATAGTCACCACCATATATTTAAGCAGAATTATTTCCTTGAGTTAAATTTGCAATTGAAGACTCATTTATAGTTGAATTTGGTTTGAGAGCATCAATAAATAGATTCCAAAACCCTCTGCTAGTATGTTTTGAAAAAGTAGCTGAATTCTTATTTATAGAATACATCATCGAAATATTAGTTTCCTATACACGTTAAAGGACATTTTTTTAAAATTACTGGTGAAATAATGCAATCCTAAGTTAAATCATTAGTATTTAGATCCCTATCAATTTGGAAAACTGTATGAGAATCGTTATATATAAAGCCATATGTTAAACTCTATAATAAATCTGTTTCTGGACGACTATGCTTAATTGACCATAAATCAAATGCTGCACTCAAATTTCCTCGAGCTTGTGTAAGGATCATATCTGAATTAAACATTGAGGACCCAAAGCCAATTGCAAAATAGGACTCCTTATTAACAATCATGATAAATCTCAAAGTTTAGTTATTAATCAAGAAAGCTTCTAGTTGATTCCCTTCAAGCTCTATTGAGAATTTAGCATGGCAACTAAAGATTAGTAGACTAATGAGTAAAAATAATTGTTTTACTCTCATTAAATTGAAGGATATATATGATGAAAATAAATAATCAAACCTCATCTTAAATATTCTATAAAGCATATCAATTATGCCAAGCTTCAATTATTTAATTTCTTTAATTCCTTGTATAAGAGCGTTTAATACTACCGGGGTTTTGGGGTTTTGGGGTTTTGGGGTTTTGGGG